CCACTGACACCAGTTTACCCAGGCATTTGATCTGTTTGCAAAACTAGCAGAAATAGTACCTACTATAAGAGCCTGATTTGATCTCTCTCTGAAACTAAAGCCTCCTGGATCTAAGGAAGAACTGGTGATGTGCCTATTGCCTGACGTGGGCCAAATATGATGTCTTTTTTTCTGTTTTGCTTTAGCCTTGAAGAAGAAAAAAAGTTAATTCTAACCCCATTTGAACGAAACTTGGAATTTTGGCGTCAGCTTTGGAGAGTCATTGAAAGAAGGTAAAGTATATCACTGTCTGCTTTTGTATTTGAGCACAGGAAAAACAATTACAGTTAGTAACGTTTTATCATCAGCACTGAAGTGATTTTATTTTGAAGCGATCCAAATTTGATGTGAGGAAGGGCAGCTGCTTAGTGGTGCACGCTAGCTCTCAACACTGCGATTCTGCAGGTGGTTTGCTGGGAGTCTCTGGTGATTTTTCAGGTGATCCTGGTCTTGGCCTCTTCCAGTAACTCTGTGGAAGGCCTGTTTTGAGAATGTGTCTTTGAGGTCCTTTGACAAGATTAACCCTTTCCGCTCTCTCAACCACACAGCTGCAGCCTAATGTTTGGGGCAGGAGGCAGGGGAGATCAACTGGGAAAGAAAGAGCCTCTTGGTCCTTGGCCTCTTGCCATGCAGAGAAAGCCATGCAGTGCACAAAAGACAACAGCCTGTCATGTCACAGAAATAGCTTTGTTGGCTCTGCCAAGCTGTAATACAATAGGAGTGCTATCTGCTATGTTAATCTAACTGGGGCATTTAATTTCACTACTAATTATGTTAGATCATCTCATCTGATTTTCCTAAAATTGAAAAATACTTCACCAGTGAGGTCATGGTGAGCTGGTCCTTTCACAGAAGTGGCTTTGTACTGGGTGCTGCTGGGAGAGAGCTGGGTTGGGAGCATCCACTATAGGGTATCATGAGGTGCAGTGTGAGTGTTTTGTGTCTTGAGGTGGCTGGAATGTGTTATTAATGTCTTTCTGCTCTTCTTGGAGCATTTTATTTCATGTAGAGTGAGGGTGCTGTCTCAGAATCAAACAGAAAAGTCGTCCAGTCCCTTACCTTGCCCAGATAATTTGGTCTGTTGTCAGCATTTTCTTGTGTTTGCTTCACACTAGCTCCCAGCAGTGTGATTCAGTAACTTCTCTGTATCCCATCCCAGTACTGTGGTGTCAGCTTTCTCTCGTATTGATCTTTGAATTTCTGTTACTGTTCAGTACCTCTTTGTACCCGTGCAGCTTATTAAATGACTCCCTTGGGGGGTTTATTGATTTGTGTGTGTGTGTGTGTGTGTGTGTAACCAGCTGCCTAGTGAGGCTTGACATTCTTCCATTCAGCCTGTGGTGTTCTGAAGCTGTCCTCAGTTAACAGAAATCCCTGCCAAACAAATATATGGCAAGCAGTATTTTAAATTACCTGTCCGGAGAAGTTCTAGTGGAAGAGGCTGTAGTTAAATTTTCCCCCTCCTTCTGAAAAACAAAGCATGAATGTCTCTGGTATCTGAAGCCAGTGCATTTAGTTGGCATGTAGAACTGATGAGCCTTGCTCGTATATGTGGAAGACATTTCCTAAAAGCACGCTTGCAAGGCCTTGCTTGCATGGGAGAGCAACGTGTTTTACTGGAGTCTAAGACTATTCTTTCACTCTCCTATGCTTTTTGTGACAAGAAGAGCACAAAGGCAATTCTGAAAATGCCTGATAGCAAATGCTTAGAATCTGCAGGTGATTTGTGGGAGACTTTGTACATCTTGCTCCATGCAAAGGGGACAACGGTGTTTCAGAATCTCTCACCTCTTCCTCTCTGTAGCCACCCTGCTGCAGTTTGAGGATGAGACTAAACAGAAACAAAGTTGTGATATCAGAGTTTTTAGTAACATTCTAAAGAACAGAATACCACTACTCTGGTTCTTGCCTGCTGAGCGTTTCTGAAGGGTAGATGGATTTGCAAAACTCACGTGCTTCCTTTCCCCTTGCTGGCTGTACAGGAGAATTAGCCAAGTGAGGCAGAAACTGTATGGCAGTACTGGCTTGTAGCATAAGCATGGCTCTGTTGGGGTGCATGGGATGCTGAGATGCTTTGTTGATTCAGGTACTTAGTAGTATAATACAGTTAAAACCATTAAAGTTCCAAGCAAAACCTAAAAGTGAGTAATGTGCTGTGCCTTGCTGCTTTCTTTGAGGCAAGGTAAGAAAGAGTACTTTATGGGGCTTTCTTTTATTTTTGCAGTGATATTGTAGTCCAGATAGTAGATGCTAGAAACCCCCTTCTGTTTAGATGCCAAGATCTGGTAAGTAGACCACTTCCTTGAATGTTGTCTTCATTTTATTTATTACAGTTTATATGACTTATTTTTTAACACATTCAGCCACCTTGGAGCTGTTCTGCTGTTGTGCCTAAATGGATATCTTATTTATTTATGCAAGTATTCTGGCATAAAATTATTTTTCTTCAATGTTTTTTGATGTTTCATGCAGTGTTGTGGATTTAGAGACAGTTCTACAGATGTTATATTGCAGATATTGTATTGCTCTCCATTACCCACTAGAAGTGTCTGCACTTAAAGGAATTGTTCTGTTTAAAAGTGCAGTGGAATAAAAATGTGTGAGGGTTACTGCGCTGAAGGTGAAGGATGAAGAATTATTGGAGTGACAACTTTCTAATGATAGACTGTAGAACACTGTGCATTAATGATGTATGAAATTGCTCATATAGTTGATATTAGGAGTTCCTGCTGTGAGGTGCTGATTAATACCCTGGCATAGCTCTAAGCAGACAAGGTGTTTGCACACATGGCTAGAAACAGCCTGTATTGCCATAGTTGCATGCTCCAATTTGTTCTTGTAGCTGTCTGCTAAATGCCAGTTCCATCTAGTCCAGGGGATGGTAAGCTTGGCTGTGCTCGTGTGAAGCTGGATGGGATAACTTGTCTTGCTGCTCCTATATCACTTTGGGGAGAGGGGGAGTCCAAGCCAGAGTACGGACTGATTCTTCTCTTGTTTTCTTCAGGAAAGTTATGTTAAGGAAGTCAGCAATGACAAGGAGAACATGATCCTGATAAACAAAGCAGATTTGCTGAGTGAGGAGCAGCGGGCTGCTTGGGCACAGTTCTTTGAAAAAGAGGGCGTTAAAGTGGTGTTCTGGTCAGCTTTGGCAGAGTGCAAACGGCTGTCCGGAGAAGCAAAGGTACTGTAGATGACCAGTTCCAACTGGATATGTGCTGGCTGCCTCTGATAAACTTGCTTCATAGTTATGCTTGTGATATACCCAAGCACTTTTCTAGGAAAGGCACAATCCATGTCTTGGGAAAGGATTATTCTAAGGACCATTGTGGCTGTAAAACAGCATTTTAATGATTGATTCAGAGACAAAAGTGAGAAGCATAAAATGGTAAACAATGTGGTACACCCTTCAGTCACTGTAGTGCTTGCAATTTCTCTTTAAAGATTAATGACATGATAAATAATACTGAACTAGAATGTAAATTTGTTCCTTGAGGCTGCTGATGAATAGCTACAGAAAAAGCCCTTGTAGATCTGTTTGCAAACTCTTAACTCGTTGAAAGAACTGGAATCCTTTACAAGAGGGATGCTGTGAGGGATGTGGGAGCCTTTCTTTGCCCTGTGGAACAAACTGTGCTGCTCCCCCAAGTTATGTATTATCAATAGATGCCACTTTCAGGTTTTAGTGTGTTCATCTGTTACAGCAATCGCTATTCAGCTATGGAATAGCCCATATCTCCTTCCAAAAATACCTAGTCTGTTCAGCTGATTCACAGTCCTTGGATAAACTGTTTTTACAGATTGATTTAAAAGCGAGACTGAAAGTGTTAGTTCTGTTTTCCTTTTTTTTGGAAAGAAAGATCAAAATACTGTTGTTATGAAAAGGTCTTTCTTTTTGAACATGAACTGTTTGCAGGGAAGAAATATAAAGAGCTGGACTGGAAACAAGACAGCTTGAAATAGTTTTAATTAAATATTTAGACCTGAAACAAAATGGCTTTGTTTTCTGAAAATTTTTGAAAAATTCACATTCACTCCTGTTACTAGGAATACTTGGTAATTAAAAAAAACAACCAAACAAAAACTTGCTGGGTTCTGCTGCTGCTGTGTGTAAGGGTGCTGTGGGTGTGTGCTCATCCAGAGTTGTGCTTCTGGAGAGAATCCTCTAATGACTTCACAATGAAGCTAACAGTCCCTCCTGGCATACTTTTGTCATCCTCCTAAAACTAGCTGGTTGTTTCTACATCTGACTTGAGACCCCTAAAAAGCCTGTGTGATATAAGCAGTGAGTTGTCAGTCCTTGAGATCTGGCTGATGAGAACACAGTTGACTGTACCACAGCAACTGCAGTCAACATCAAGACTTAGTGATGTCTTTACATTTCACCTATGAAATACTGTTCACACAGGAGCTAGATGCTGAAGATGTAGCAGAGGACCTGAGTGATTCTGCGGATGAAAGCTCCAGTCAAGAAGAAGACAACACAGCGGAAGATAGCGCAGAAAGCACATCCACAGGCAGTGCTTTGCAAACTGTGAACCAAGTTCTGGTTAGTGATGATGACAGTAGTGATGAATATGAAGACTGTGAAGATGATGAAGAGGAGGCCTGGCAAACCTGTTCTGAAGATGAAGGCGGGGACAAAGTAAATGCTATTGCCCCAGAGAGGATGGAAAGCAGGACTGATGGTGCTGCAGTGCAGCATGTAGTGCAGGAGCAGAACAGGAACATCAGGAACTTCAGCCATCTGGTACAGAGAAACGAGTTGCTGGAGATACTCAAAACCATGCACAGTGGACCAAGGGTGAAGGATGGGGAAGTAAATGTTGGGCTGGTGAGTTGGACTTTGTGCTTGATCTCAACTTAGTCTAAATTTTAATTCCATGTGCCTTCCATGAGAAAAATTCATCCTGTAGCCTGGCTTCCTATAAGGGTAAAAAAAACCTATCAAGCACAACTCACCAAGGGTTTTGTGCAAAGATTAATTCTGAAGTTCCTGGAGCTCAATGCTCCCCAGTGCTATGTATTATTGAAGTACTTTTGTGTCAGAGCTCTGCCAGTCTTCTGGCATCGCCCTGCCAGGTGTCACTTACAATTCTACTTCTTTGTCATCTAGGTTGGTTACCCTAATGTTGGCAAAAGTTCAACCATCAACACAATCCTTGGAAATAAGAAGGTGTCAGTGTCTGCTACGCCGGGCCGTACAAAACACTTTCAGGTATTGCTAACAGAGAGCATTGATCTTTTTATTTATTTTTTTTTTTTTCCCCCCAGTGGAAGAGAGCTTCATTATGAATTAGTTGTAACCAAGTGGACTCACTGAGAACTCTGTTTGCCAACCTGAACTCTGCCCAGCAGAGTTTAGGTTGGAGGGAGGGGGGCTTGATGTATATAACTTTGGAACTATAGTTCTTGCTTCCAAACTTGCTACAGTTTAAGAGTCACTCGTGAGAGCTGCTGTGCAATGGGAGATATTTGCATCTCCTGATTTTATTTAAGTAGCTTGGCCCTTCTTTTTTCAACACCAGTCATGAGATAACCTCTGAAAAATGAGTGTTCCCCTGAATAGCTTAAGGTCAAGCTTTCAGACCATCCTTCTTGTCCACAATTGTTGCTGTGAATAAGTCTAATTATGCCACCATTTTCATATTGGTCAAGCTCTTAATTTGAGGTAGCAACTCCAATGCTATAATAAGCGTTGGTGGATTTGTACTTGTGCAGTCTCCTACCTGTTTCAAAAGGTCCAACACAGTTAAAGGTTTCTGGAGTGCTTTTTCCTCCCGTTGGACTGGAGAGTTGAAGATCTTGCTGCCCTCATCTGGACACCTTATTTATGAACCTTGGAAGTGCTGCTGTCTTCCACATCATATTTCCTTAATTCATTGGCTGGGGCCAGCAGGGCAGATGTCTGTGTTAACAGAATTGCTGCTTATTCTCATTTGCATCCTTGTTCCATCTATGCATTTGATTTTTTATTTTTTTTTTTTTCTCCTTTTTCCTCCATGGACACTGACTTGCCTTGGTGAACTCATCGGTTATTTATTGTGTAGACCCTGTATGTGGAGCCTGGCCTGTGCCTATGTGATTGCCCTGGTCTGGTGATGCCATCTTTCATCTCTACCAAGGCAGAAATGATTTGTTCTGGGATTCTGCCTATAGACCAGATGAGGGACCATGTCCCACCCATTTCTCTAATATCCTTTGCATGGGGTTTGTGAGAGCGTCTGCAAGTGTTGGATCTACAGTATGCAATGTAGCATGTTCCAGCCCTGCTAGGGCCACACGTGCTCATGTGTTGAGGGTGGTGGGGATGCGTGTTGGATAAAACAGCCCTGCTGTGATGAACTTTCTGCATCTCATTCCAAGTTTGTCTTGTCAGACTTGCATCATTTTTCTGGTTTGCAACAAAATCCAAAAGTCATTCTTAATATGTGCCCTTGGAATGACTAGGGCAAGATTACTTGTGTAGCTGAAAATCACCAGGTGGTTTCCTTCACTAGCTTACGTCTGCCAGCATATCCCCCGAAACATTTTGGAAGCAACCTATGGAATAAATATCATAAGGCCAAGGGAAGATGAGGATCCAGATCGAAAGCCAACAGCTGAAGAGGTGCTAACAGCGTACGGATGTGAGTGACAATCCCTTTAAAACCTGTCACCTACGCTGTGTGCGTGGTCTTGAACATGGCCTTAGGAGAACTTTCTAAAGTTAGGCCCAGCTCAGGTTTGTCATGCATTGAACCTCCCCATTAGGACTTGCCCTCCTCTCAGGAAGGGCTTTTGTTAACAGCTAATCCCATGTGTTTGTTGCAGTGGTGCTTTGCCAGTTTTGTCTGACAGATGTAGTGATTGTGTTGAGGATGTTGTTGGAATGCCCTGCCAGTCTGTGCAGTGTGGTGCTCCCATCCTTTTAGGTACCACCTCTATCAGCTGTGTTTTGAATTAGACTTTGAAGAATGCAGTGAAGGTTTATGTCCCTTGCCTGATTTTCTGATGCAATTAATCTTCTCTGTCCTTAGGACAAAAATAAAAAAACAGCAGGTTTTCTGGTGGTAGTGAGATGTCTGCTCTCATCATTCCTTTCAGGTTAGGATGCTTCTGCAGTACCTCTACAGTCAGCAATGTTCCCTTTTTTCCCTGCTGTACCCAACAGAAGCCTCTTTTGAAGAGAGTTTTTTTGAGAAAGGATACAAATAGGCAGCAGAGAAGAATGTATTAATTCTCTTGTTGTACTGACGCAGAATGTACTTTGGATTTGTCTTCCAGATATGAGAGGCTTTATGACAGCTCATGGACAGCCAGACCAGCCGAGATCAGCTCGATATGTGTTAAAAGACTATGTCAGTGTAAGTGCTTCCTACACCTGGGTTTTCTTTCCTGCTAGGAGGTGAATTGAAGGTTTCACTGGAGCAGGAAGGAGCACAGTAAAGTGAATTCTATTTCTCTGGATAAAATCAGCATATATTAAAATACTCTCCAGATTGGGCTATATTTATGTTTTAAAAGAATAAATGAAATTTCTTCTGCTGCTTACTCTTAAAAAGATGATTGCTTAAAAATAAGGTGCTAGCTAAATAAATTACCGTATCTTTAAAATAGGCAGCAGATATTCAGGAAACAAACCTGTATAATTTTGTATAGTTGGATCAGTATTTGGCACTAAGGACTGCAGTTATGAGTGTTGTAACACCGCATGCTTCTACAGCCCCTCTCAGCAACTTACTGTTGAGTATTTCTTAATAGGATCCTCCAGTACTCCTGAGAGTTCTGCGCTGTATTGTTTGCAGCTGGATGTTGCAGCTGGAAATGGTGCTTTGAAGTAGAGGTAGAATGCTGCTTTGACTTAGAAGTCAAGCCAGTTGTTGCCTGGGAGGAGAAATGAAGTGTACTGATAGTTTGTCTGCCAGTGTCAGCCCCTGGACTTCCAGGGCCGTTTTTAGGTTTGGAATTGTTTTCTTTCCTCTTTGGGTTTCTCTCTGAGGTTTTTTATTAATAACAGTATCCCGTTGCTTTCACAGGGGAAGCTGTTATATTGCCATCCACCACCTGGCATTGACCCAAACGATTTTCAGCACCAGCATCTAGGATGCCCGGAGAGCAGAACTGTGCAGGAGGCCAGTGGACAGATGAAGCCTGAGAAAAGTACCAAAGCAAAACAAATTGAAAATGTGGTGGACAAAACATTTTTCCACCAGGTAAATTCTGGAGGAGATTTATTCTAGGAGCTTTTACAGCAGCACTGATGTGTCATTGTTACTGGAAAAAATAGCTTTGAGGATGGAGGGGTGCTGGGTTGTTAATGGTGTTGGATGCTATTGGCATCTCCATGTAATTTCTACCCAAGAGCTCTCTGTTCTTTTTATTATCTCCTAAATCACTGGCAATGTTGTAGGTGACTGAAAGATAGCTAGTGAGGTGCGCATAGTTGATTTTTAAAAGGTCAGCAGGGTGACCCTCATCATTATGGGCCTAATGTCAGTCCTGAGCAAACAGGAGTGACTGGGAAGGCAGACAAGGTAGAAGGGAGGCGTGACAGAGCAACCAACCAGGAACGTGCTTTTGGACTAACAGGTCCTTCAAACTAGCTTTCCTTTCTTGAGATGACATATTTAGGGGACATGACCAGCTTCTTTAAGACAATTATTTTGGTACTATGTTTTGACTCAGAACCTGAAATCAGATGAAAAGAACACAGAAACTGATTTAAAATCTAATTGAGAAATCTCAGAATGAAGTGGAAAATGGGAATTTCCCTTAACTTGTATGCTTCTTGTTACGTCCCACAGGGATCTGTTTTGCCCCTACACTACTGAAAAAAAATTATTAATGACTCACAATGAAATGTCAGATCCATAGCTGATTAAGTCTGTATACCTGACACAGATCAGAACAGGGTGTTCAGCAGTGAAGAGGATGGGTCATAGATAGCATGATCTGTTCTGCTTGGTTAGCTGGGTATGAACGGCATTTGTTTCAGCATGGCTAAAGATAGTCATGCATTTTGAAAACAAGAACTCAGGCCCTTTTCAAAAAATAGCAGGCTGTTTCGGAAAGCTACGACCTGAAAAGAATTTTTGGGATTACCAGACTCTTCCTCTGACTGCCCAAAGTGCTGGCACAAGCTGTGAGCCCCAGCAGTGCTACCCACGATCCAGACTTGAGCAAGTTATTTTAGTCTCTGGCTTTCACAGACGCCAGATTTATTTGCAAAGACTATTTGTTGTGTGCAAAGCAGAGACTGCGAATCAATCCTAGCGCCGTAGCTAATGTCTGTCGGAGCTCGGTGTCTTGTCAGCGCTTCACCTCTGCTTGCAGTGGTGGACTCTCAGGTCCTGGCGCAGCGAGGCATGGCTGCAGACAGAACTGGAGCATGCTGGCAAGCTCTGGCTCAGCAGTGGGGTGTGACCTTTCCTGCAGCTCAGCTGGGGCTGAGCAGGTCTTGTAGGGTTTGAGCTTGCCTGTGTCTGCTTTTAGTAACGTATCACAGATCCTCATGGTTCAGTATCTTCTCATCAGTCACTGGTGATTATGTCTCCTCTTTCAGGAGAACGTTCGTGCCCTGATGAAGGGGGTCCGGGCTGCGATGGGATACCGGCCCGGCAGCGGCCTTGTGACTGCAGCTACACCCAATCCTGGGAATGTGGTAGGAAAGCCCTGGAAAAAACATGGAAACAGGAACAAGAAGGAGAAAATTCGCAGGATCACTAAGCACTTGGAGGCTTAGCTGTGGCACTGGTATCTGGCCTTTCCAGGGCTAGTCCTGCACTGGCCTGCAGGCCTGAACTGAGAGGGGAAAAAAAGGATAAGTCGGCATTGCTAGCTCACCTGGAGCTCCGTGCTATGGATTGGCCTGGGCAGGGGATAAGAGGGGGCTCTGATACTTGGCGCTCATCCCTTGCGAGAACAGAAGAGACCTGGCCATTCATGTTATCTGGAAGCCAGCCCAGATGTTTGACTGCTGCTGAAATGTCCTTTCAATGGGAGCAGGTGGAGCCATGCAGGAATGTTTTTTCCTTCCATAAAGGATGTATTTTATAGCTGTTGGGATCAAAGCAAGCCCTGTGAAACTGACTAAAATCTTTAAACAGTGGAATCTCAATGAGTGATGTTTGTTACATTTTGAGACTCTATTGCTCATCTTTCTTTATTTTTAAAGTGTGTTTGTTGATTTGACAACGCTTTAGTGTGTTGAAAAATGAGGTAAAAGGATCTTTATTGCCCTCTTCTTTCTCTGCTATACCAGCCCTATTCTGTAGAATCTGGTACTGAAACCATTCCCTATCTCCCAGCTTGAGGCAGAGCAGAGCACACCATGCAAGGAAAACGCTGCTTTTATGTCCTTCACACTGAGCTGGTATCAGTTGTTTTTCTGTGTGACGGTATTTTAAAACACTAGCTCCGTGTGACTGGCCAAATATCTGGTGCTAATTTGTCCTTAAAAGTATATTTGAGGTTTTACTTCCTATGTGGTGCCATGTTCTGCCTTACTGACCTGTTGGGCATTGGCCTGGTGACATAATAGCAAATTTTAATATGTACATTAGTATTTGACACTAAAAAGACTGTACTTCCTTGGGGTTAGACTTAAGTGAGATTTACTCCTTGGTTGCCCTCTGAGAAGATGTTTGTGCACTTGGTCAATGCTCTTCGTTCAGCGCAGGGAGTAATGGTAGGCCTGGAAAGTCTCGCAAAGACAAGTTGTGCTTTGTTTTTAGGTGGTGAGGCAGAGTAACAGATGACTGGTCTCTGATACTAAAAAAAGGGATTGCTGTCTTGTAATTTTGCACTTTTCAGGCCTTAAGTACAGATGGAGAGGTGAAACCAACTGCTGAGCAAAGCCACAGCAGATGTGGGGGGTGCAACCAAGCTGGTTTTGGCTTTGTCTGGTACAGCCAGCTTGGCACTGTGGATGTGGAGGGTCCTGTGACAGCAGAGCTCTCACCTCGGCTCCTGCTTCCCCTGGAGAACTTCCTCTCAAGTTCTTAATTACATCACTGGAGGGAGGATATTTCCCTGGCACTCGAAAAACTAAAGCATAATTATACTGAATGAATATGGTTGATGGTATTTTAAGCCAGTGTACTATAGTGGAATGTAGACTCTCAGGACAGACTGTTTATCCGGTTTTCCTGGAAAAGGTGATTTTTGCCTTTGTTTCCTGAAGAGGTTGTGCCCTAGCCAAATCAGTCTCTGATCAGACTTCCCCACCTTCCTTGGAAGGATGGCTTTTGCTTTTGTCCCTTACAATACTTAAGGGACCTGATTGCTCAGAAACGCCCATTTCTTTTTGTCCTGTCTTGTGTGAAGCTATTACCTGTCAAACGTAAGTGAAGGATATCCCAACTTAAGTCTTAGAAAAAAATACTTTATTCTGTTTCTTTCCTTCAAGGAATCTTGAATTCTTTGTTCTGTTGCAGGTACATGAGTTTTCTTCTTTGTATTCTCAGCCCTGTCCTGCCAGCTGGGTCTCCACGAGCCTCTGTGCTGGCCAGGCTGTGTCCTTGTGTAGGCCCTTCCAAATCTACTGAATAACATCAATCCCTAGGGCCTGAGGCTTGGGATGACTGCTTGTTGCTCACAGAAACTATTGGCCACAAGACCTGCCAAACCACTTGCAGTGTTTGAGTGAGTGAGTGGAGGATAATGTAAATACAGCCGAGCAAATCATGTTTGCTCAGGTTTGTTAAATGCAAACTGCTCCTTCCTGTGCTAAGGGACTCCTGCCTCGATAGAAGAAGGACCGTAAGCAAGAGTTGTGGACCTAAAGGCTTGTTAATATTTTATGCTGCTATTGAGCAGTGGGCAAACTAGGTAATAGGCGAGGATCGTGGTTACATTAATGCTTTCCTGTGGTGGTTTGGTCTGTTGCTGAATCACATCTGCCCTGCCCTTGCTGTGTTGACAGCTCAGTGCAGCTCAGACGAGCAGCTGGCAGGCATGAGGCAACGCGGGGACTGCTCTGTGGTCAGGAGCCTGCACAAAGGAGATGTTGTGCTTCGCCCTGGCCACCTGCTGAAGGAGCCTCTCTCAGCTGCTCCCGTTGCTTTCCACAGAAGGCAAGTTTCCATTTTTGAGTGTTGATTTCTTAAGGCACCTTGTGCATCTTGAGGGAGCATGCAGGCAACAATATGGTTTGAAGCTGAACTTGCCTTTTACGGTATCTTGCGCTTGCATCGTGAACTACAGTTTTCCTCCCTGGAGGGCAGGAGCTGGAGCTGCCAATTTTCTCTGGGTTTCTTCTGCCTAGTGTAGGGAGCCCTAGTCCGGCCAGGGTGAACTCCAGGCTGTCCCAGGCTCACTCAAGGGTCTCTTTACTCTATATTATGTTTATTTGGGCTGTTAAAGAGAAAAAAGGAAATCTCTTGTATAACTTGCCAGATGTGAAACTAGTAGGGCTAAATTATCTCACGAGTCTTCTAGAGCTGTCTGAAAGGATGAGATTTGCCAGGGATAAGTTTGTCTCCCTCCTTAGCTGTAGCTGGCACAGCCCTGCGGAGAAGCTGCTGAGAAGTGAGGGAATTTCACAGGGCTCCTGTTGGTGGTGTTACATTGGCCCTTCTTTCTCCTGTCTGCCTGCTAGTTAGTAGAGTTTTATTATCAGGAGAGGGGCAAGACTTGTTATTTTTCAGAGCTTCTCTGCTACCTCTGGGTAGTCTTGCTTAGTTTCTGCTAAGGGCTTTTCCCACTCAGGCTGCTGCTGTTGCTGCAAGAGGGTTTCTGTGCAGGTTGCCCTGGTGCAACATTGGCCCCAGCTCTGCCCTGGAGATCCGGAAGGCTGGGACTGTCCTTCACACACAGGACTTGCCATTGCATGGCAGAGCTGCTGTGTAGGCTGTCAGTCTACTAGAAAATGTGCTTTGCAGGGTCTGTTTGGGGGGAGAGCAATTTTTTTTTTTTTTTTTTTTTACTCTTTTTGGGGGAGAGCAATGTTTCTTACTCTGTCCCTGAAAATGGAAGTGTTATAGGTGAGCGAGTGAGGAGGATGCCAGGATGTGCTCACCAACTGCAAATCCCTGAGCTGCTCTCCTGTGGGGCACCCTGGCTGTTCTAACGCTGCAGTCCATGGCAGGCCATGTACAAGGCTCACTTCCCTCAGCTTTGCAGAGCCAGCACTGCACAAAAAAGTCCTTTTCCCATCTGCAGACCAAGTGGTGTGGCTGGGCAGGGTCACAGTCAGGTTCCCCTGATCTTCCTGATATCTCAGTACCAGGATGAGTGGGTCAATGACTTTCGCACCAGGGAGTCCTGCAGTGAGGGGCTGCCGTGCGTGCATCTCACCAGCTTGCTGCAGTTGCAGCATGGTCCAAAAATACTTCATTATTTCTCTGAAGGAGGCTGAAATCCTCCTTTCTTGCCATTAGGGGCCGGCCTTTCCAAGGCAGAGGGAGTAAAGTAAGAATCAGTCTTTTTTTTTTTTTTTTTTTTCCCCCCTCTCCTTTCAAAGTTTCCTCCCTGTTCCGAAGAGCTTTAAGCCGTTGTTGGGCACCAGCAGGTTCTTCAACCTCACGTGCCTGCGAAGAGCAATGCTGTGCTCTGCCACCCCACTGCTTGGTGGCTTTAGTCCAGACTTTTTCCTGAATTTTTGTCTTCCCTTTTTTTTTTTTTCCCCCCCCTTTTGCAGCAGAAATATTGTGGAAAAATATTGCTAGGCTGCTGGGAGAGAGGCAGGGAGCAGCTTCCCCAGGGCACCTCAGAGTATAATTTCTCAGGGTTAAATGCCTGAGGTGCCCAAGACATCTTGGGACGTGAAGAGAGGTCATGGTGAGGACAAGAGAAGAAACCACTCCCGAGTCAGAGGAAATCTGCCTCAGTGTTTTTTCTTGCTCTGGCTGTGGAAAAACATTCTGTCCTGTGGGTGGTGTCAGGGTGGGAGGGCTGTGCTTGTTGGATGGAGCAGGCTTGGGTTTGCACCCCTGGAAATGTCCCCCTCTCATCCTCAGCCCCTTGTCATTTGGGAATCATAGCAGTTGAGGCAAAGAAACAGAAACATTGTCATGTCCCTGATGGGAAGCTCTCGCAGTCCAGCCAGGCTTTTGCTGCCTGCGCAGAGCAAAGGGAAGCTGGAAGCCTCTGGCAGAGCCCCTCTGTGTTGGCCAGTGTTGGTGAATCAGCCCAAGCTTCATCTGTGGTTTCCCAGGGTTTTTTAGCAAGGGTTGTGTCTGCATGGTGGCTCTCGGCACCGCCTGTGCTCGCGGCAGCATGGGGGGATGCCCAGGAGCCATTGTTGTGGGTGTCGCAAGGAAAAGGGATTCTCCCTCTCCTGGCACACGCCATGTCTCGCTTGCCACCACCCCCCGTACTCCTGAGGCCTCTCCTCACATTGCCTGGGCGGGGAAAAATTGAAACAAGTGTTGTTCTGCTTTGAGCTTTGCTTGCGTTGTCATGGAGAAAGGGAGAACCAAATACTTTCTAGTTTGAAATTTCCCTTTCTGGGAAGAGGTGGTGCAGGCCCATGGGGAGCAGTGCAGCCCAGGGCTCCCTCACACCCGGCTGTGGAACCGCCTCGTCCTTTCTCTTTGCGGTGAGACTTCGAAGATGTGACAGTGCAGTGGAGCCAGTCCAGCCCTGTTGCTCAGCCTTGCTCCGTGCTGTGCCCAGGCACCTTCAGACACCCTGCAGCCTGAGATGCCCCAAGCACTCATTCCCCTGACCAAGCAAGCAGTAAACAGCAGAAGGTGCTTCCTCTGGGCTCCCCTGGGAGAGGTGGCAAGCTCTGGGCTGCCAGTACAGGCTGCCATGCCACACCTGGAGCAGTGACAGCTTCCAGCATCTCCTTTCACCCTTTTTCTGCTGCAGCAGGGCATGGGGGTCCCCCTTCCCTGCCACTGTTGGCTGCACTCCCTAGTGTAGCCTCACAGCTGGGTTTAAACCCAGCAATCTCCCCTTTTGGATGGGCTGGTGTTTGCCCCAGCATTGGGGGTTACAAGCCCTGCCCAGTCATGCTCTGCAGACTCTGGCATTGAAGCCTCCTGATCCACCTAGCAAGATAGGAGCTGGGGACAGTCCCTGCTGTGGCTTCCTGCTGGTGGCTACCACCACGCTTCCTGGTTACCCCTGACTGCTGAACGCAGCACCACTAGCCAGGGACCAGTGAGACAGAAACACACCTGGAAGGTTATGTATGTCTTAAGTGCTGTACGTGGGGAACTGACCTGTCACTCGTGTTTTGCCTGGCAGGTACTGTCTGCTCCTGCTGGCTGCCATAAACGAGAGCACTGCCAATTCCTGTGACAGAAGGTGAATTTCTTGCCCTTTGATGATTTTGTACCTCAAAAATGTGTGTGGTGTAGACCAGAGGAAGCTGTAGAAATGTGAGAGCCTACTCAAAGCTCAGGAGGGAGCAGCCACTTTGCATTCACAGCACTGGGCACATTCAAGTGCCTTGGCCCTGTGTGCGCTGGTGAGGTTGCAGCCACAGTGTGGGGCTCACCAGGACCCTGCAGCCCACGCTGATGGATTTGTTGCACATGAAGTGCTGCTTTGTCTCAAACCTTTCAAATCCATGTGCTGTGCCCTGCTGCCCCATTCCTGGGATGCTGGGAGGGGAAGCCCTGGGCATGCTGGACATGTGGCTGGAGCAAGATGATCCAGGGTGGGGATATGGAGACCTGCCTGGCTGCTCTCCTGCTCTTCTCTGTCACAGCATGGGGGAAGAGAAGAGCTTCCCGCACAGGGGAGCAGTGGCCAGTACAACTGGGGCTGGCTTGCT